CATATATTTTTTTTACCAAGTCTTTAAATCCAAGGTATATTTCACCCTTACAGCACATCTCAATTTGAACTGACCATACCTTTTAAGCACTTAGCAGCCATATTGAATAGTGCAGATCTAAAGTACTTAACATTTTAAAATTATACAGTCTTATTTGAAATACCCAAAGGTGGGTACTGTTAAATCACAAATTGTAGGCAGATGTTTAAATAAAATTATTTTAATTTAATTCTTGACTATTGGTGATGTCATTTTCATTACCAGGAAACCTGTCCTGCTGCAGTTTGGTAGAGGGTCAAGAAAGATGATTCAGAAGCATGTCCTTTAAGAGTCTCCATGCCATGCACAGAGCCCAGTGACTTTAGTCTGGGTGTGGTGAGCTGATCTCAGAGTCTATTGTGTGAGTGTTTTTCACTTTTGTTTTTAGTTTATTTTATTTTTCTGGTCTCCCCAGCTTTATTTGGGAGTGCAATCTAAGGAAAGTATATTTGTTTTGCAAGCACACTAAAGTTTACTCAGATTTTTAAATGACATATGTAGGATTACACCCTCTTTATTCTGTCAGTGTTTCCATTAAAAATTCAAACTTTCCGGGACTTATTACACAGCTATAACAAATTGCTCCAGGCAGAAACTTGGCAAACTCTCTTTAGTGTGGGAGAAAAAAAATTTTTTTTAACAATTTAAAACAGATTTTAAAAAAACACAAATGTTTACCATTTCAACATACTCATGTGGTTTTTTGGTATGAAAAGACTTTCCGATAAAACACATTATATCTTTACATTCTGTTGACTTTACAAATTCGAAATGTTAACATTAGCTTCTAAGTAAAATTTTGCTCTAGAGTTCTACAATTACCCTCCCACCTTCCAAATTTTCAGTGATTCTGGCGTTTGGTTCTCATATTTGGAAGTCTGATTGATATGATTCTAAGAGGTGCTGGATCAATCAGCTATGAATCTTTGTGTTTCATTATGAAGAAATGAACATGCTTCCAAAGGTAAGATCTATTCTATTCTGAACTCCTTACAGACTGAGATGTCTTACTCAATTTTATATTCTCACAGCCTAGTTATTGTAGATGTACAATAAATGACTGCTGGTAAATAAGTAATATACATAAAAAGCAATTTGAGAGTGAAGATACAGTCACTATTCTTAATCTCTTATTTACATACTGAATTTTAAAATATTCACTGAGTAACTTTGAAAAGTCTTTAAAACTGTTAAAAAAATGCAACTGGATCTTTAACCTCTATGATTTCCCTCATTTACAAACATCTCAAAGGATTATTGAAACAACTAAATGACTCTGTTATAAAAGCATGAAATGGTTCCATAACTTTTTTGACTTGACTTTTACCATGTATCTTATCCACCTTAAGGGAGTTTTTGAGGATGCAATAGTTGTGAAAACTATGAAATGATACATAGATATAATTGCAACCAAATCCTCACCACTGTGAGCAGGAAGGAAAAACCCCTATAATCATTGTGAAAGTAAGTATGATGAAAAGTACACATACCTTAACCAACATGTATGAGTCCAAATGAAATGAAATTATTTGACATAGGGCTGGGTAAACTGACTTTGCTTTTAGATAAACAGGAGTTACTCTTAGGGTTGCCTTGATCTGTATTTTGTTACCTTTATTTTTGACTAGAGCAAAGTTAAGGCATCTTTACCACTTTTTAAGGAATTCAAGCCTAACACTCACAAGAAGTATATTTATTTTATTATTTCTGATCTGTTCAATTATTTAGTTATAACCTGGTAAACTGTTTGTGTTTGCTCATTTGTTTGGGTTGTTTTGCTTTGTTTTGAACTATATAACAGGCTACTTCTAATGACAACATGTATTACAATTTAAATCTGCCACAACTTGGAGAGCTCTGTACATTGGTTTTATGAAGCACTCTTGTGCTCCCTCTGCTGCCGTGAAGACAACGTTCACGTTCAAGACCCTAGCACATCACTTCGCAGAGTGTTCCCTTTTAGTAATGATGATGTAAATCGAGGCTTTTCTAGAATGCAGTAATATTTAGCCAAAGCATGTATTGTAATCATTTTTCATTGAAAATCACAAATCAATAAATATAGTAATTAATAAAAAGGAAGAAAAATAACATTAATGGAAAAATTAAGTTCTGCATTTGTGCCCAAACTGATTTAAGCTGAGACCTGTAGTATAAACCAGTGTTCTTCACACTATTACGTGTTTAGGAAATTACCTGGGGGGCTAGTTCAAAGGCAGATTCCGATTTAGTAGGTCTGCTCAAATCCTTGATTCTTAATGACAAAAAAGCTCCTAGATGCTGCTGCTGCTGCTGCACTCTGAGGACCACACTTTAAGAAATGAGAGTGCAATATATAATTACATGATATGCTATATATTTGCTAGTTAATTTTAAACCTTCAAGAGGAGATACCATCAAAACAGCAAATTAAGTAAAAGGAATTAAAACTGTTTTTCATGGTGTTTAAACAATCTAGAATGTAGATTAGAAGTAAGGCTCATCCAGCCTTGTTTCTTAATTTCCTTTAATTTCAAAAATTGACTTATGTTTGTACTGCAACATCAGGCTTATAAGTAGGACTCTAGTACTGTGTATATGCCTACTGGTTTCTTGAAAGCTGTGCCTTTTTTTCCACTGAGTTATTATTTGCATGAGAAAGTCTTGTTTTTAAAGAATTGGTGCCCACTATTTGTGATTGTACATTTAATATCTTGCCATCTGAAAACATTTCAGCACTAAAGATAATGAAACTGTTTCATGACTGTGGTGTTAATGTTGGACCCTGAAGGAAGAAATAGTTACAGATTTTAGTGACAGTTTATGGCTTTAATCTTAATGGCTAAGAAAGTAAATGACATATTTCTTATTAATTGTTTTAACTGTTTGGGTAATATACATATTTAGCTTCCTTGAGGGAACATTTAAATTAATTACAACATTTAAACTAACTCCAATCTGAATTATGTGTTTTAATTTGTTTAACGTTGTTAAAATAACATAAATTAACTGCTTGTGCCAATGTAATAATTATAATATTAGCTTTTTTTTTTTTTTACCGAAAATTCTCTAAATGTAAGATGTCTAAAAATAGAGTGGAGGTGGATTGGACAGTTTGCAGATTATGAGTTGGAATAAAAACATCTCAGTTAAGCCAAAAACATGGCAACCAATATTTTCTGTTATAAAAATATTTGAGATGAATTTAGTTTTCATGAAAGCTGTCTGAAACTGAAATGAATAGCAGAAGCTCTCTGTTTATTCACAGGCCAGTAATAATAATACCTGAAGCACAAAGCATACGTCTTTTCCATACAAAGCCAACAAGCTTCTGCTCTTTCAGAAGTCGGCTTTGCCAAGGAGGGTGGGGAAGAGTTATTACCCTGTTATGCTCTGAAGTATTAACCTTCACCTTGACAAAGCTTGTCAACGAAAACAAAACCCAGCAGAGCCTTTTCAGGAAACTGATGTTAACTGTCCACTAGAGGCTGTAATGAGACCAACAATGTCACTTCAGACCAACCCGAGGTTTAAACCAAAACAATCATTGATTTTTAAATGAGAAAAAAAAAAAGTGTAGAAGCGAGTAAGAGTGAACAGTAGTATTTCTATTTAAATAGTCATATATAAGTGCATGATATTTCAAAATGTGAGAATAAAATATTTCCGGGCCTCTACACCTTCCTCGTTGGTATGCTTATTTTAATTTCTGAAGCACGTAGGCTCTACAATACAGAGTTACTTAAAAGCTGACACATTTCTCTTGGTGAATCTGTGTCCCCCTTCAGTTGGTGACTAACCGCTAGGTCATAAGAAATTCAGCCAAACGGTCCCTCAGCTACAGCTTGCAGTCAATAGTGGTGGCTTCCAGAGAGAAACTTACGCGGAGGGATCGTGTTTCCAGACACTGAGTTCTGAGCACCTGAAGGAGGTCAAATGTCGCCCCCGACACCTACTGGTCTTCCAGAACTATCTGCAACTAGGAGAACGCCGCATTGAACTCCCTTCATGTGGACCGGCTTTCTCTTCCAGGTGCCACACCTGCTGGCAAGGTGCACCCCCCCCCCAGGAAAATTCCCTCGCATGGAGCTCACACCTGGCGACGGTGCAGGTGGAGGGGGCGGGGAATGGGAAGGTCCCGGACCGCGCTTAAAATTGAGTCCGGAGGAAGTTCTGCGGCATGGATTCTCCAGAACTGCCATTTGATTTGATGCTCGGCTGGCTTTCTCTGTCTCCTACATTGGTTACCTCATTTCCGATTAAATTAATGATCCCAAATTAGCTGCTAGAGGAGTGCGCGGTCTTCTATCAAGGCTGGAGCTGAATAGTTCAATACCCAAAGCTGATTTTCGGAC